GAGCAAACTCAGGGAGGCAGTGAAGGACAGGAAGGCCTGGCGCAATATGGTTCATGGGGTCACGAAGAGTCGGACACGACTTAACGACTAAACAACAACAACAACTCCCTGGTCCAGATGAAAGTTGAACCTCCCAAGCTTCGGTTAAGGTAAAGATGTCCATAGTTGAGCTTGATTCTGGAAAAGTGCATGCAGTTTTCCTAGCAAGAATATGGAAGCGGTTCCCACTGCCTACTTCCAAGATGTGTCTATTCGCATTTTCCCAGTCTAGCCTCCAGGCTTTGATCTCCTGGTAGTTTCCTACCTTAAGTGCCAATAACATCTGCTCCTGCTTACTTTTTTCAAAATCAGCTGAGGTTGGCTAGTGTTGCCACCAGAATTGGGCAAGCTTCTATTAACCACGAAAGAAAATGGTGGCCATTGGATTTTTTTCCTCTGAGGTTCACTGAAGCTTAAAGTGGAATGCAATGGGATTAAATCCACAACTTCTCTTCCTACATGCTGCAGCCACATCAAAAATTGCCTCTGCTCATCTATGCTATTAATACATTTGAAAGAGACCGATTTGTGCTGCAGTTAGGTATTTGTTTCACATCTGGTTGGTCTCCTTTTCCACATCCTTCCTTGAACAGTAGTGAGTTCTCAACTTTCTGACAAGTGAGAAAAGGAATTTAAAAATTCATTATAAGCTGCCCAAGAGACATGCAAAGGGCAGCTGGCAGTAACTCTGAAAAAGGGCAGGCAAAGTTATGAACATCACGATACTCCACACTACAGTGGGCATATCACTGCAATCAAAACCTCGGTTGCATTTTTCACAGGGCTGTAAAGATAACAGTCAGTTTCCAAACCTGCAGAGGAACGGAACTAGCAAGGAACGTTCTGTGGGTGCTGCCTCCACGTGGAGAAAAATTAGTTTTCTAACAGAGGAACCAAGCTGTTGAAGCTACAAACGTCTCAAAGTGAGTTGTACTGTACAGAAAGACAGGTCATCTTCAGAAATGGTGTGTTCAGGTTGCGGTCCAAAAGGCTTTTACTTGCAAATGGAAAAATGCGTTCCCCAAGGTCAACTTTGGAGAGTGTTATTGGAATTGGAACTCATTTTTGTGTGTACAATAATCTTGCTGCAGTATACCATGTACATATATTAGTTTCCCGTGTTTCTTTTCTAGTTCAGCATCCATAAAGTCCAATAAAAATAATTTGGTTTCATCGTAATATTAATCCACAGTATCTTTTGGATCATTGTATGAATTTGCACCCAAAATTTCTTTGCTTTTGTACAAGTCCACCATGCATGATAAAAAGCCCCCTCTTCCTTTTCACACTTCCAACACTGGTTTGATGTTCCTTTGTACATTTTTGACAGCTTAACCGGTGTCATATGGCAACAATGCATCATTTTATTAAAATTCTCTCCTAAATGATGACACAATGTAAATTCAACACTAGTTTCCCACATTTTCTCCCATACATCCATATTTATATTATAACCAAAATAATGAAATAACCACAATAGCAGATTGGATTATAAAATTGATGGAGCTTCCAGAAATGGCAAAACTGACCAGCTTGGTCAGGGAAAAAGTGTTAAAGACTTTTATAAAAGACTGGGAGCCTTATGTGGACCTTTTGTTGAAAGAAGAAAAGACAGAATCGATGATTTATAGATTTGGGGATTAAAAAGGATTAAAGAGAAAGGGAAAAATTAAGATGGCAATTACTTGATAGAAAGAAAGGCAGAAGTCATAATTCTATGTTTTCTTTCCTTTTTCATTTCTTTTTTTTTCTTTTTTTTTCTTTTAATTTGCTATACTTTTATTGTATTGAAAAATTCCAATAAAAATATTAAAAGGAACTGTAACTCAGAATTCCAAGCCACCAGACAAGGCTATTGTAAAAGACCAGCCAGAAGTGTCTTCAGGAGGCAAAAAAGTCAAGATGGTAGATATAGCCATGTCACCAAAGGCCCATATGGCCGCACGGCTGTGGCCATGGCCTGAACCTAGTCAATTATGGCTTACTCAGTAAACTATGATTTACTCTAGGTAAGAATACAAAGGATTGCAGCCTTAGCTCCAGCCACATCCTGAAGGAACAAAGATACCTGCTACCCTTGAAATGGAAGGAGATTGTTTTCATTTTTCATTTGACACTTTAAAATGCAGCACCTGCAGGCCTCAAAGCTGCACCAGCCTTCATGTGGCATGTTGAGGGCTACGCTCCAAAAATAGACAGAACCAGGGCCTCTTTGGGGAGGAGTTCCAAGAGTTTTCAGGGTCAAATGGGGGCATCTATAATATGTCTGAGGAGACCAAAAAATGATGCTGGCATTGGCCCTGGAGTTGCATTTTTTGCTGCACTTTAAAGAGGGACATATTGAAACGTTGTAAACTCCCTTGAGTATTGATATCACTAAAAAGGCAGGGTAGAAAGCCAATCAATCAATCAATCAATCAATCAATCAAACTTTAGTGTGATTTTGTGCATAGCATTTTTATGCTTGTTGGAAAGATGGGATTAGGAGATGGTGTCACCAAGGAGGCCCCTGTTACTTTGCAAGGAAAATGGTACAGGTTCCCTCTGGTCACGTGTGAGTTCTGGGGAGCCTCACAGAATATGTATGGACTTTTTTGGCAATGATATGGAAGTGATCTGCTATTGCCATCTTCTGGGAATATTTTTAACATCTTAGTCAATTGTATAGCTCTGAAATTTCTGGGTGGTCTCCCATCCAAGGCCTAAATAAGTTTGATCTTTCTTGATGTTTTTCAAGATCAGCTTAGGTAATTAATCCTGCACTTCCCAAGACACGGATGCAGTTGACACCCACTCACTAAGGTATAACAGTTCCACCCTGAGTGGTGCTAAAGATAGTCCTCGTTTAGCGACCACAGTTGGGACCCATAACTCAATTGTTAAGCAAAGCGGTCACTAAGTGAAACTGCGACTGTACTTATGATCTTCCTTCAGCCTTCCTTTGCTTTGCGAAGGTCGTAAATGAGAAGATTGGCCACAAAATTACTTTTTCATCACCATCATAACTGTGAACGGTCGCTAAAAAAGGACTACCCGTATGCTTCTTTTTATTCTTTGGATTCCCAAAGCTTGCCTACTTTGCCAAACAATCCAGCGTCCAGGCTACCAGCAATTCCTTTCTCCAAAGAACAATTTCTAGAAAGCAGATATCCTTGTTACTCTGTTGCACCAAATATAAGGTTTATGTCATGCGATCAGTTATGATGTAACACCACCTTCTGCCACTTATGGTGCTTTCAGATATGTCGGACTTCGATTCCTATTATCCCCCGCCAGCATAGCCAGAACGAATTGCATTAAGCTGGAGAACATCAGCACAATGTATTTATTTCAGTATTTTTTTTACACCGCCTCTCAGCGACTTTGCGTGGTTCACAGATAAAAACGCACAGAACAACAAAATAATAGTGATTAAAAACAAAGAACCAACAATGGCAGAAACTGGACAACAACCAAAGCAAACCCACATTGCTCAGAGGGGGCTTCCATCATCCTTGCCAAAGGTTCTCTGAAATACCAGCAGGGTGGGGGCCATCTGGATCTCGAAGGGAGCCTTATTCCAGAGGGCAAGGGCTGCTACAGACAAGGCACATTTCTGGGGTCCTGATAGATGACATTGTTTAATCGAAGGAACGCAGAGCATGCCAACCTGCAAGATTGAATTGGCTGGGCAGGCATTATGGGAGACAGGCAGTCAAGTAACTAGGCCTTATGAAGGGGTGTTTTAGTGTTTGAAATGCCACAGCCCAAGGACTGGGTTCAGACAGTTCCTCATAAACCACCCTTTACAAACCACACCAGCTGGATTCACACAACATGCACAATCACAAATCAGCAAACCACACTACTTAGAATAGTGTGGGAACCTGCCATTAGGTTTGGTTAGAGCAGCATTTCTCAACCTCAGCAACTTTAAGTCATGTGGACTTCAACTCCCAGAATTCCCCAGCTGGGAATTAAAGTTGCTGAAATTGAGAAATCCTGGCTTAGTGTATTGTGTGAATTCAGCAAACTGGGATTTGTTCAGAAAGCAATGGTTCCGCAGTGTGCATGGATATTAAGAAATAAATTCCCCGGAAGCATCCTATACAATTACAACTTAAGGGACTTCCCCACCCTCTCAAAATCGGTGGCGGTAGTGCTGCTGCGGACTTTCTCCTTTCCTAACCTCCAACAATAATACTTCTTTCTCTAATTCGGTGTTTCTCAAAACATGATCCGAGAACCCCTGCGAAATCAAAATTATTCGCCGGATATTGAGGATATTTGCAAACATTTAAAACAATGCCATTCTTCTCATTATTTTTTTTTTTTACTTTTGTTAAAAAATACAGTTTTTTTCATGATTTTTTAAAATGTATGTTAATATCAAATGGGTTTAATATTGTTATTTTTACATGATTCAATAAATATTCTATGAAGGCATCAGTTTTAATCTGTAATACGGTAAATATCGATAAACATAACCCATACAAACAAAACTTCTTTTGGGGTCCTCCATAATTTTTAAAAGTGGGAAGGGGTCCTGAGCGCGAAAAGTTTAAGTAAACACTGCTCTAGTTTGACCTGAGTCCATTGCCCCACCCTTACAAACTTCAACTCCCAGCATCCCTCCACCCGTAATAACCCCGCCCCCTGGGGTTGCCTGTGTCGTCTCCCTCTTTCTCTTACTCTAAATGCGCAGATTGGCCCGGGCCGCCCGCCAATTGGCGGGGTCCCTTTGGGCGGAATGGCTGTCACTCCCCGCCCGGCCAATGAGACGTGGAGCGTCAGGGAGGGTGGGCTGCTTATTCCCGGAGCGTGTCTGCGCCGCTCGCGCGGCGGAAAGGCCGGCGCGGAGACAGAGGGCTGGTGGCGTAGTTAGCG